TAGATTTAATTAGAATTAAAATTAGCATATTTTTTTATTTATATGGTTGTGTCTGTTTAGTAAACAGACTGTGTGGAGAAGCTAAGAACTTGCTAGTTATGGTTGGAGAAACTGGGAAGAATGATTACAATTAAGGGTTGTTCTTAGACAAAAATGTCGAGCAGGTAATGAGCATTGTACCTGATGTTGTTCGAGCCATAAAGGATATTGTGAGGGTGTGTTCTTTTCCAAAATCACTAGTCCTCGATCAAACTAGATTTATCAAATTTAATTTTAATTCTCTTTTGTATTGGTTGCAGAGAGTCCTCGATCATGGGGCAGCCCGTGTGTTTGTTACAGGAAACTTGCAAATAGATTGTGTCACGACTCAAATCCACTCTTATAGGTTTAGCATTATGACCGGCCAGTAATCCTGAAATTACCGAAGGCCTCTGAGACAGTTTAACATAAAGCGGAAGCAAATAGCAAATATATAATATCTATTGAGCTGTGCAGACTTATATAAGACAGAAAAATTTTAAACTGTTTATATACATATTTACGCATTACCCTTGCGTCATCATATATATGCAGATTAAACAAAAAGGGACTTAACCCTATTTACAAAACAAGCAAAGACTTGTTTAACCAAACAAGAAAACAAAACTTGAATTTTATGCACTTAGCCATAATCACTAGACATATCGGGAACTTCCACGAGAGGCACATAGGTTGGCTGACAAAACAGAGGCCAGGCAGAAGCTCTAGGCCTGGTGTAAATAATACAGTGAACTAGAGCCCAGTGAATAATAATAGAGTAAAGATTTTAATGAATGATATCTATATCAAATTCAGAAGTCAGATTTCAAATCTTTTATCAAATCAGAAATATAGTCATGTTCGCATTCGTATTAGAAATAGAGTCATATTCATATTCATATTCAAATCATGTGTGGTACTTCCTTTAGCGTAACATATTATGTTGGTCAAGTATATCAAGTTCCATAATAGAATCTCCGATACCAGGTAACATATCTCATATGTTGGTCACGATATTGTTTTCCCCGAGCGAGGGCCTAGGCCACGGTATTATCTCCCCCGGACGAGGGCCTCATGACCATAAACCACAGTATTATTTTCCCTAGGCGAGGGCCTCCGCTAAGGATACCACAAAGACGTTTCAAAGAATTGGATCATCATTCATCTAATCACAAAATAGCCTTTGGTATCATTCAAAAACAGTTCATATCATATCATAATGTTCAGAAAGTATTTCATATCGAATATAGCTTTACTAAGTTATTACTCATAGATAGTTGCAGAAACAGATCAGACAGACAATAGCGTGTGACTTACACAAACACATAACATATACACATTGAAACACAATATCAATTCCTTGATCAAATTTGACTTTTCTTGTCTTTTTTTGTCTAAGTAGTCCGAAGTTCTACTATACTTATTATTTCTTATTCAAATGAATCGGGTTCTCATTTCACATATTCTTTCATTACTAAAACATTCTTCAATAGACCAATTTTTTACTTGGCTTCTTAAACAATTACAACTACTAGATCAATAATTCATTCTTTAATTAACAAATTTATATTGATTGTTAGCTTATTAATCTTCAATGAGTCATAAATCATGTCTATATAGAATGCTTGGAAGTGAAAGAGAACGAAAATCGAAATATGAAATAGCTTCTCAAAATTTTCTAAAACAAGACTCTTCACTCGAGCGCAACATTAGTCGCTCGAGCGGACCCCTTGATCTGAAAAAATATTGGTTGCTTGCAATCTACGCTCGAGCGACAACTTCTTTGCTCGAGCGATGATGACGAATTCTGAGTTTTCCAGAATGTTGCTTAAACTTCAAGACACATTACCAATACTCCAAATTCATGCATGACTACTCGAATATGAAAAAACATTCCCAATTACATGTATTTAAAGTTAATTCCATGATTTTAATTCAAATTTAAACCTTAGGTTTCATGTTTAAAAATCATTTTTCAATTCTTTCTTTATTTAATGAAACTTAAAATTGAATCTATAAAGCCCTTTCAAAAATATTTGCATGTATGAAATTAAATTAAAATCAAACTAATGTTTTTATTCTCAAATATAAAATATAATTTATTGCCATATTTTTCCGAATTTAAATTTAATTTATTTTCTTCATATCAAGCCCAATTTCAAACCCACAAATTCTAAAACATAAATTGATCTTCCAAAACTCTTAAAAATTCATGATGAATGTACAATTGAAACTCAATTTCATGTTAAGACAACTAAAGAATAATGTTTTAGAACACTAAATTGAGAGCTCTAGAGCATCACTAATGATGTGGCATAGTAATTCTAAAACATAAATTGATCTTCCAAAACTCTTAAAAATTCATGATGAATGTACAATTGAAACTCAATTTCATGTTAAGACAACTAAATTCAAACCCAAAGTGATTACTTTCTAAATTAATTTCCATAAATTTGAACATAGCTCAAATTCCTCATTTTCTTTTTAATTACATAAAATTAATTTCAAGCTCTTTTCTATCTTCCTTCAAGACATGAAATTAAAATTATAAACTCCTTCGATCATCATTTGCATGTATGAAATTAAGATCAAAACTAACTATTTTATATTTTCAAATCATAATTTTACTTCTTGAATTGTTCTAATTTAGATTTTTATTACCTTTCTTCATATCAAACCTAATTTAAGCTCATAAACCTTTAAAACATGAATTAAAATCTAAAATCTTGGAAATTCACAATGCATGTAAGGTTAGACTTCAAATTATGAAGGATGACAAGAAAATTTAACCCACTAACAAATTACATTATCAATTTCTTAATTATCCATCTTAACCCAAATTTTCCTTCATTACTTCCTTAATTTCCTTCTAATCTCATGAAATTATTAAACCCAATTACTACTTGATTTTAGTTGCTAGATGCTTAATCTACAAGAATTTAAGCTTAAATTTTCTTACCAAAGGTTTTCATTTTGTTAAGCCTCTTGACAAAGCTTGAGATTCTTTCCCTTGTCTTCAATTTTGATTTCCCTTATTTTTTAGAGTTAGCTTCCAGCACAACTTCTTTCTCTCTCTCTCTCTCTCTCTCTCTAAAGCTTCTCCACCAAAAGCGTTCTCTTCAAATTGAGTTCACCTCACTTCTTTACGAAGTTAGCATAACATACATACACCCACTTTCAACTCCTTGTACACGTGTAACCAGATTTCTCAGTACACCCACATAAATTTCTCAGCGCACACAGCCCCACATACACTCTCAATTCTAGATTCTTCCATAATTCATTTTATGTTTAGGGTTTATTTAATTAAGCAACGTTTAGTCTTAATAAATCTCAATTAACACATCATTAAATTAATTATAACTAATCATAAATCTCACATAATTTAATCGGTCTAATTTGACTACTTTACAGCCCAATTAATTAAATTAAAATTTATTATTCTGGATCAGATTTTTAATCAAACTCCCAAAAGGCTCCAAATACTAAGTTAAATTTATTTCCATCCTTAATGTTAGTTTCTTAAATCATTAAGGCCTTCAATTTTAAATTAAACTTCAAAATTTTCATCAATAAATTACATACTCAATTGAATACCTCATAAATAAATTTAATTCATAGTAATCTTAATCCCCAATTCTCATAACTTAATTAACTCCAATTCGGACCAAATTAATCAAATCTTAATTTTACAAATTTGAATCGAATATTTAGTTAAACTCCCATATGGTCTGATACTCAAAATTAAAATAATTCAATTTACCAATTATACTCTCTTAAGCCATTTAGATTTTCAATTTCTAATTCTAAAATAAATTCTCAATAAAATCATATATGAATCAATCTCTATAATTTTTGTAAATCTTAAAAAAAAATTAGAATAATTGACAATTAAATTTCAAATCTTCATAATTAATTTAGTGCTAATCATTATGCGTAGCAGTTTGTTTTCCAATCTATCTCATAGCCTTCCAAACGTTATGACGTACACTGGTGCTTGACACAATTTAAAAGCTTCTTAATCAATCACAATTAATGAACCTTTACAAGAGATCATCCGAGAATTGAAACGAGTATCCTAATGCAGTAATCGTATATGGTGATTACTACAACGCTTTCCAGTGGCTTTACCGCTATACTTCATATCTTGGTAAGTAAATTTACACTTTGCAACTAGAAAACCACAAGCTTTGGTTTGAAAGATTAATCATGAACTACTGTAACATTTGTTTTGTTGTTTACAGGATTTGATCCTAAATCTACTCAGAGAGCCTGTTACAATTTTAATCTCGCCAAGGGGTGTGGATATCCCGGCGTTCCATTTTGCCAAAATCCGGATGAACACATTAGCGGAATGGAGTTGATTCGACGCAGAAAGCATACGGGATTATGACTGAATGGCTAATGCAGGACATTTTGCCCAACCTTCATTGTGATAGATTTGACATTGTTTTCACTCCTGGAGACAATAACTTGTAGTTTTTAGGAAGTGTTTGCTAAATTGGATGCTTTTTTGACAAATACATTTGACTTTGGGACCAAGCCCTTGTTTGAGTCTCATGTGGAGCATAGGTACCATCTTCACTTGCTTTCTTGCTTGCCAATTTTATCAAATTTAAAATAATGGAGTACTAGTAAATTAAAACACACAAGACTTAGAAGGATTAGAGATTTGGACAATTAAAAGAAGTGGAAAAAGGCAAACTTTTATGAAGAAGGGAAGGAAAAAGCTTCTTATCAATCCTTTATAGACAAAAAAGATTGTATAGGTAAAAAAGATTGCAGACTTATAGGCGCTTCAAATTTAGTAATTTTTTTTTTTGATTTTTTTGTGCAACAAAAAAAGAATCTATATCAAATATAACAAAACAAATTATCAAAGAAGGAATAAGACTCATCGCTATGTTGTCACTAAAGCTATATTTCAGGTAAATTCCATCGTTTAGCCTTTAAATTAGGGATACAAGATCAACCATATGACATCAATTAACAAAAAGTAGATTGAAATTTTATTTCTTTCATCCAAAAATTACAAGACTTGAGAAATCATCAATATATAAAAACTAATAAACCTAATTTCATGTATTGCTTTCTTCAAAGCTTAATACACTACACCCTAATCAAGCTTACGCTTCCTTTTTATTTTTTTTTATTATTTATTTTTATAATAACTCGGTATCAAACCCACTGGACCAACTAATTTGGAGAGCAAGAACAAAACATGGTGAAATACATTAATTTAATTTCCAAACTCTTATAGCAAAATTAAATCCTATCCATTTTAATTAATTTTAGAGCACACTTTCCGAATTTCACCATTAGTGCCAGTCTTCAACTCGATGTTGCTCATCTTCACCATGGCCTTTCCAAACTCCACGTCGAAAGCCAACCCTAGCAAGCCTCTCAAACCTAAGTACCGTTGGACATAAGTTTTTGTCGAAGCATCGGTCCATAACTTCTGATCAGACTCAAGAATTCCACGACCATTTCCTAGATTGGTGAAAAAAGACGTGTCGAACTTGCCAACGCTGCCAGTGTCAAGCGCTATGCGCTTTGAACCATCACCATTTTGAGGGCAGAGCGATTGGAGTTGAGGAAGGAATGCAGGATTAATGGCAGGGTCAGGGGCACCAGTGTTGCTGTAGTTGTATAGTCTGTAGCTGAAAAATTGGCATGCTGAAGTCCCAATAGTGTGCCCTCCTAAAGTAACACATGATAGGGATACGTTAATGTTGATTATCTCTATTTATGTATGCGTGGTGTTTGGTAATATAATAAAAGAGGTTAGAATAAAATATATTTATTGTCTTTAAAATATGTGTTTTATGTCAATTTGGTCATTCAAGCTTTAAATTTGTCATTAAAATTTTTAATTTAAGTATATTTGGTCCAATTTTAAATAGACCGTCTAAATAGTTAGTTAACAGAATGAAAGTACACATATGGTTCCTGAAGTATGTGTTTCATGTAATTTTGGCCTTAGAAGTTTTTAATTTTATTAATTTGATTCTAAAATATGGATAACACCACCTCACAATATCAAATGATGAAATTAATAAAATTAAAATTGTAGAGACCAAAATGACCCAAAACGTATGCGGATCATAGTTGAAATTCATAATTATTCTGTTGACAATTTAAACGGTCGCTTGAAATAGAACTAATTTGACTCAAACTGAAAATTTTAAAGACAATTAAAATTTAAAGAACTAAAGTAACAGAACACATAATTTTATAGTGAAATTTCATTGTCGTTTGTTTATTCTTGGACAAAGACCGAATCACATAAATCCGTGTAGATTTGTAAGTTTGTTTTGTTCATTACTTCTTAATTTGGGTTCAAAATAAATAAATACATTATAAAATCGGTAATGTTTTGTCAAACATTTTAATCAGCACAAGAAGTAATTAAGATGTAGAAATTTTGAAGAACATTAACATACCAACAAGGGTAACTAGATCTTGAGCATTGAGTCCTTTTGCAGCAAATTTTTGCTTCTGTACATCAACGGAGTCGGTGAAACCAGGCAGATTGCTGGTTTCAGATGCTAAAGAAACTCTTCCATCTTTCCTCCCCGTCGGCACCTGCCAGACCCTGCCCGTAGTCTGCATGAAACATTTTTGAAAAATTGCAGTTAATTAGTAGTCGAGTTGGTCTATGTGCACAGAATTAAATCTTATAAAAATACTTTAAAATGTATATAAAAAGTACTTAAGTGTACACATACTAATTTGGTAAAGCGCGTTAGAATTACAACAATACTACAATCATTACCAGTTTTGTATATATGACAGTGACATGTATAATATGGTGCTTAGAAGTTTGACTATTACCAAAACCACTGAATCACGAGCAGCAAGAGCAATAATATCAGCACAAGAGACAACTCCAGGGCATGCAGCTTCAAGTTGTGTCTTGGCATCATCAATGACTTCATATCCTCTCAACAGAAGGTTTGGTGGAGCCGTCTTCTCCGTCGAAGGACCATCGATGAGGATTGACGCGTCACAGCCTTGGACAAAACAGTCATGGAAGTGCATTCTAAGCAATCCCGGTGCAACCGTGGCATCGGATTGAAAATGAGACTTCACCGTTGCCTGGACGATGGTTTCAGCTCTAGGGCACGAAGTTGAATAGAATCCAACTCTCGTGCCCTGGCCCACCGTCAAAGTGGCCGTGGTGGCTAGCCAGAGAAAGAATAGAATGTGGATTTGTTTGGTGAAACTCATTGTGAAGTTTTTGCCAAGTGATTGACAATGGGGAGGATGAAGATTGAGACTTGATGATGATAAAGGGTGACAAGGGTTTTGTTGTATGGATGGTTTAAGGGAAATGGTTTGGCTTGTGATGGTAGGAGAGGCTAGAGAATGTGTAGTATTTATAACCATTTATCCATGGTACGTACTAAAAGAATATCTTGAAAATTCTTTCAAAAATAAATAAAATATATAAATCAGGTTTATTCTAAATGTGACCAAAATCACACCAAACATTTTATTTTTTGAGTACAAAAAATCAAAAATTATTTCAAAAATAATATGTATGAATCAAATTTATTATTTTGCGTGTGGGTCAATATGACCCACAACACACTGTGTGATGTTTTGAAAAGTTAGTAAAAAACTAATATTTCGACTTTTTTTTGTGACTATTTGTCTTTTTGTATTAAAAAAATTGACTTTTTGTGACTTTTTTTTTGTATAAAAAACCTAAAAAGCCAAAAATTGGCATTTTACCAAAGTTCCCAAAGCACCCCTATATATATATTTCATTTTTAGAGTATTTCTCAAGTTACTTTTTAGAGTACATAATTTTTTTGAACAATAATCATTTGTTTCCAAATTCTGTCATTTTATGTTCTAATGCATTTTCAATTAGATCACATGAAAATCTCCACATACATAAATCATGAAGCATAATTCAATGATTGAAAATATATTAAAATTAAAATATATAATTTAAAATTAAGAACATAAGTTTTTTTAAAAAAATAATAATATTATGCATGGATAGGGGGGGAAGTCAAAGTGGGGGGGAAGAAGTAAGCAAAGTCGGCTTCAAGAGCTGGCACAAGTGGGGTGGGGAACATAAATGGAGAGAGTTTCAAACATGAAGTGGTGGTTGACGATGATGCATATCTTTCCCAATTTAACCTTTAGAAAGTCTATGTTTGGTTTGTGTTTGAGAGATGTGTTTTAGAGATAAAAAGTACAAAAAATTGTTTGGTACCTTTAGAAAGTCTATAAATCTAACCCAAAAAAAAAAAGTGATCAAAATTTATATATTTAATTTTTTTTATTATGGAACAGATCATGAATAAATCTTAAAGGTTGTTTGGCATCTCCAATATTAGTATATTTTTTTTTATAATTTTTTTTAAGTCATATCACCTCTTATTTTTCTGTATATTTTTTTTTATAAAAAAATCAAAAATTATACTTATTTAAATCATTTCAAACAACTCCTTAATCTTTCATTATAAATTCTAATTAATTTTTTAAACTTTTTTTCCGAAATATTTTTTGGATTAAATTTCTAATTTATTTTCCTGAGATCTTAGACCTACCGTTTAAACTTTGTCATATAATGAAGTACATGGAAATGCATGCATGTCACATGCGTTGGTTGGACTTTTTCTTTTTCACCGCCATGATGACGCGGATCATTGTTGGTTGAATTTTTAGAATGAAAGTGGTTAAAATCAATCATTAGTTAAATTATGAGATATTTATTAGAATTTTTTTAAAAAAAACTTATATCTTAATTAATGCATAATATATTTTTATATTTCAATAAATTTTATTATTTAACTATTTAATCTATCAAATCTTAATTCTCATATTTAAGAAATTTTATAAATAATTTTACCCTTACAAATATTTTTCTAACGCTTAACAATTTGATAATATAAATATTCATATTTTACGGTATGAATTTCATACTATTTTTTAGCAATAATAACTCTTATACTTGACCTTTAAAGAAGCTTTTTAGATAAAAGAAATGCTAGAAAAAAAGTCTTTAGATTCTTTTCACACATTTTTTCAAGCATTTTTTTTTCCTTTTTTTTTTAATTTTTAATAAGGAAAGTTAAACAACAAAATAAAATAAGAAATGAGAGGGTTAATCCCTCTTATACACAATTCCAACCATGTCAGCCACTAGAATGGGCCTTAGCAAAATAGGGGGGTCTTCATAGATCTTCAAGTCTTCTACTTGGTTTTCTCCCACTGATTAGCTTCTTGAAAAATGTGTTTGATAATTCAGGCCATACGGGAGGTAAGAAATTTAATGTCTTTCACAAGAGCACGGTAAGGGCAGTTTGAATGAGCTCCTTCATCAATGAGTTTGACAGCATCTTGACAGTCTGTTTCAATTACCATATTTCTCCAACCTTTTTCATGAATGATGGTTGTTCTGTGATAAATAGAAGACTTGAAGATCTATGAATGATGGTTTCAATTACCATATTTCTACTTCAAGGCTTGTTGCTACATCTAACTTTCTAGAGTATCCAAAAATCCAATAACTTTTTGTATCTCTAAAGAGTCCTCCAAAACTAGCTTTTCCCAACTTTCCTTGGCACATCTATCAACATTTAGCTTAATATTACCTGTAGAATGAGACAGCCATTCGATTAGTTTAATTCTTTGCTAATCAGAGCTTAGGGGGCTTTGGAAGGCCTGATGGATCTCTTGAGTATACTCGAACACTAGGCGTAAGCTGTCACTAATGTGAACATCACAATACAGTTTTATTCCTAGCTTTCCAAATGAACCAAAGGATGACAGTGAACCATATGTTCCAATTGATACTTGTAAGGTTAGTTTTATCTCAAAGATTAAAAGAAATCCAAACATCCAAAGGCTTTTCAATGCTATCTCTAATCCATTGATCATTTTTCAATTTTTTCCGCAACTCCCTCACGCAGTAGCAATCTCTAAGGAGGTGGCTCATACTTTCTCCATTAGAACGGCATCTAGGACAAAGGTCATTTTTGTCAAAACCTTTGCTGACTCTGAGTTGGTTTGTGAGGAGTTTACCATGCATAACAAGCCATAAAAAGCCTTAGTTTTTGAGGAATTTTTAATTTTCAAATCCAATTCCAACAAAAGTTATGTTCTTTAACACTAATGATGAGGTCATAAGCAGATTTAGAAGAGAATCTACCTTGGGGCGAACCTGTCCAATGGGGTTCATCAAGAAAAGTCACAAATTGGGGAAGTTTGTTTGTCTTTATGGATGTTATCAATATTAGTAGGTGAAAGGTGGTTAGCAACCGGATCAAATTCCAATCGCCCTCCTCATTAACAATAGTGTTGAAAGTGTCATGAGTGTTAGTGTGAGGGCCAGCTGAAATGTTTGCTAAAGGTTGCTTTCATATACTAATGGAAACCACTTAGGTTGTTCTTAGCATTTCCCATTATAGAAATAGAACTCTATTTAATCCTTACATTTCCATTCTCAATGCTTAGCGAAGAATTGGTAACATTCAGACTTATTATTTTAAAATAAAATATCTATTTCAACGATATTTAATTACTGAAATATAGCATTGATGATAAATTTTGTATAAATAGTATTTTTTTATTGTAATCTTATCAATTATTTAAACTTACCCAATGCTTCATTGAAGTTGAGGTTAATGGTTAATCATTATTATAGAAAAAAAACAAAAAATTAATTTAATTTGAAATTTGTACAAAATTTACCCCCCACACACACAACCTCCATAAGGACCATATCCATAGAAGCTTGTAATATAATATAATATTGCCCTTAAATTTACACCACTACAAAAAACAAAAAAGAAAAATTAAAGTTTTAGATGCCAAAATTTAGAAATAAAATTATTTTTAAGGAACAAATATTTTTGTTGTGAAAAGTACCGTTATTATATTTTTAGTAACGAAAATTAGATATTAGTGATGAATTACTATTTTTTTGAGACCAAATTTTTTGTCTTAAAAAATAAACCTTTTTGAGACCAAATTATTTTGTTCCTAAAAGTATATTTATTAGTGACATCTTCAAAATTTTGTTCTTAAAAACTTTATATTTGACTTTTCGAAACAATCTTTTAACGACTATATTCACGACGACAAAAATTAATCCTTAAATATCTTTTGTAACAAAATTTTTACTTTTAAAAGTTAAAAAAATTAATTTCTAAACTCTTATATGTTGTACTGTTCTTCCTTGCAAGTTGCATCTCCTGGCAAACAAAAAACAAAAAAAAAAACTGCCATTGTCTTGCAAGTTGCATCTCTTGGCAAACAAAAGATGATGTTAAAAAAAACAAAAAAAACAAAACTGCCAATGTCAGTGTCATGACAAATCATAGCATTTGATATCGTTTTTATTATGAAATTTATTACCCAAAAACTATTACGAAAAATTATTTTTGAATTTCTTTTTCTAAAAAAACACATTTTTCAAGAGTTTTTTTTTATTTATGAATATCTCACGAAAAAAAAATCCCACAATAATAAATACAAATGATAGTTGTTTTCAAACTTTTTATTATTTTTATTTCTAAGAATATAAAAAACAAAACCAAAAATAAAAAGACCAAAAAAAAATTTCGATACCAAACAGGACATAAATTTCACATTACTATGCATCTTATTCTCTCACCCACAGTCCGGTATTGACTGTCCGGCATTGACTGTCGGCAGCGGCGGAGCCAAACTGTTGACTGTCGGCAGTGACGGAGTCAATAAATTAAATTAAATGGGACACTTATTAATTATAATATTAGATTTTTTTTTATAAAAGTAAAGTCTAAATTAAAATATTTATAAATTTTAATTTTTGAAAGTCTGTCTTAGAATAAAAATTTAGGGTGGCCATTGCAAACAAATAGGAACTAAATAGGTAAAAATAAAGTGCAATCAATTACCCTTACCAATTATACTCTAGATCATGGAGAAAATAAATCATCATTAAAATATGTAATAAAAATGAAAATAAGGAAAAAATGGTTTTTTATTATGATACTAATCCAATCTAGAGAGAGTTCTTCTCCTTAAACCGTGGGTGTTGATTTTCGACCACACAATCAAATAGGAAACTTAGCTGGAAAGCGCGCGGCAGAATAGATTAAACCAATCACCTGACAACAAGAAGATGAGAAGCGCCGATCAAGTTGGTCAATCTTATCTCAAAGATATCAAACAAGTACTAAACTCACAGAATAAAGCGTACCTTAGACCCATGAGGGTTTTTCACTTTTATAGCCAGCAATGCCCTAGTCCCTAGAAGTCTTACTTCATAGGACTCAAGCACAATGCTTATCTCGGACTCTTTAGCTAAATAGGGATAAACTCCTCCAAAGCCTTATCCATATCCAGACTAAGT